CAGTGCCCACTCCCTCAGCACTGACCCTCCGACAGTGCGGCGCTCCCTCAGCACTGACCCTCCGACAGTGCGGCGCTGCCTCAGTATCGAATCCAATAATGCTTTCCGTGATTTGTGTGATTCTCAGACCTTCCCGAGAAGCCGGTGATCCAGGCGCCGGTGACAGTGACGGAGGGACTCCCAACGACGATGAGCTGTTCCGTGCACAGTCCCTGTCCTGAGGATATCCCGGATTTGAAGTGGGTCACCCCTTTCTTCAGTGAGGTGTCAGAGATACGGAAAACTTACCAGGATAACTGTTGGACTTATTCCCGCACCATGTCCTTTACACCAGGATTTGAGGATCGGGATCTCTCCCTGAGATGCGTCGCTTGTTTTGGGACAGATACTCCTCCTGTGGACAGTGAAGTGACCGTCAACCTTCAGTGTGAGTATCTGAGATTTATCGCCTCCTTTAGACTGTTCCAGACTAGATTATCCCACCTGGATAAATACAGACTGACAAGGAGGCCGTTCAGCCCATTGTGTTCATACTAGCTCTCAAAATAATCCTTCACACGACAACCTCGCTTGACTTTACCACAATATTCCCACTTCTCGCGCTCCCTCTCCAAAACTGGCTCTGATTTTTCCTCGCATTTTTCAATTTGCAAAGCCATTCCGTAACATGTCACCTCCTCCAGTCCCTACAACCCCTCCCTATCTCTGTAACCTCCTCCAGCCCCTACAACCCCTCCCTATCTCTGTAACCTCCCCCAGCCCCTACACCCCTTCCCTATCTCTGTAACCTCCTTCAGCCCCTACACCCCTTCCCTATCTCTGTAACCTCCTCCAGCCCCTACAACCCCTTCCCTATCTCTGTAACCTCCTACAGTCCCTACACCCCCTCCCTATCTCTGTAACCTCCTCCAGTCCCTACACCCCTCCCTATCTGTGTAACCTCCTCCAGCCCCTACACCCCTCCCTATCTCTGTAACCTCCTCCAGCCCCTACTCCCCTCCCACACTCTGTCACCTCCTCCAGCACTTACAAACGTCTCTATCTCTGTAGCCTCCTCTAGCCCCTGCTCCTTATAAACTGAACACTGTCTGATGAGTTGATCCTCTCTCCCTGATCCCTCCCTGACGGGCCTGAGGCATGGCCTTTGTGAGGGTGACACATTGTGAATGGCTCACTCTCTGTGTTTGCTCACTTTCAGATAAACCTCGCAATGTTAGTATCTCACTGACCAGGGGAACACAGCAAGGCAACCTAAAGGAAGGGGACTCTGTTACCTTAGAGTGCGATGCCCTCCACAGTCAACCAGCAGTCACTTCTTACATCTGGTATAAGGACGGAACTCAGCTCTCCAGCTCCTGGAGACAACCCTTGGAAATCAGACGCATCAGTTACTCACAGTTTGGGAAATATTTCTGTGAAGCTGAGAATGGCATTGGGCGTGGCAGGTCGGAGGATATCGAAGTGAGAGGGCAGTGTAAGTGCACAGAGCTGTGTTTAGGGGGTTACTGGGGGAACCGAGTCTTGTTCACGTCCGCCTGACACTGCAATGAGGAATTACTCCAGGCAAGAGAGTGATAACCATTTGGCGAAGCAATGAGAGGTGGGGATAAGGGGAGAACTGGGAGCAGTGTATATATTTCTCCAATTTATATATCCCTCACTTAGACGCACCCTCGGACTAATGTGCACAGTTCCAGTCTCCACATCCCTCATTAGACCCACACTCGGAGCACCGTGCACAGTTCCGGTCTCCGTATCCCTCAATTAGACCCGCACTCGGAGCACCGTGCACAGTTCCGGTCTCCGTATCCCTCAGTGAGACCCGCACTCGGAGCACCGTGCACAGTTCCGGTCTCCGTATCCCTCAGTGAGACCCGCACTCGGAGCACCGTG